AATTTATAAACTATCAAGGGCTCATGAGGGTGGGGGGAGCTAGGAGGGAGGGGGAAAATGAGGACCTAATGCCGGGGGTTTAAGTGGAGAGAAAGTGTTTTGAGAATGAAGAGGGCAATGAATGTACAAATGTGCTTTACACAATTGATGTGTGTAGGATTATGATAAGAGTTGTGTGAGCCCCTAATAAAATGATTTAAAAAAAAAAAGAATTTTGTCTTCCTTGGATACACTATCAATGCTCATGAAATCAGCAATCCAGAGACCAAGTGACACACTGCATTGGGCAAATGTGCTTCACAAGACCACTTTAGAGTTTTGAAAAGCAAGGATGCTACTTTGAGGCCTAAGACATGCCTGACCCAAGCCATAGTATTTTCAATGGCTTCATAGGCAATTTAAAGTTAGAACTTTTTTTCGATTTTATTTTTTTCCACAAATCGTCTTATTAAGAGCTAATCCAGACATACCATTCCGTAGTTCACTCACACCAAGCAGTATTATGCAATTGTTACCAAAATCAGTTTCAGAACATTTTCTTCCTTCTTCAACTCTTTGCTATCAGCTTCCCTTCCCCCTCAACTCCCCCACCGTGCCACCCAGGTACCCTTATTCTAGTTGTCATCTCTTGAAGCTAATGTATCCTGGGTTTGTCTGCAAATACTGAAAAACATGGAGAAACACTGAACAAAGATTAAAGGGTACGCACTACAAAACACAACAGAAAGTTGGACTTTGAATAAGGCAGAATGCTCTTTAGAGGCAATAATGGTGTGACTTGGTGTCATGTACTCTGGACATGTCAGGAGAGACTAGTCTCTGGAGCACGCTTGCTAGAGGGGCAGCGAAAAACAGGAAGGCCCTGGACACGATGGATTTACACAATGAATTCAAACATGGAACAATTGTGAGCATGGTGGAACACTGAGCAATGCTTCATTCTCTTGTACAGAGGATCACTACGGGTTGGAATCAACTAGGAAAACCAGAGTTCCGTGACCGAGGTTAAGTGAATCTCTGTAACAGATAGCAAACATGCTTTGGGTCCAACAACCTAACTGGGATTGCTGTCTCCACCATGTTGTGTGCAGTGTTGGCTTACGGTTCCAAATAAAAGGTGTTTTTAGCCTACATAATCCACTGTCCTCCTCCAGGACTGTATAAAGTATGAGATGGTCAAGGAAGCTAAGACGGAGAACTCACAACCCACTGTGACATCTGCCTGGTAGATGCACACACATCTGTGGTCTAATAGACGTGGAATCCTATCACTTTCTAGGCATGTAATCTGAGCCCAAGGATGTCATCTCTGATTTTGGCTTCTCAGCATTCAGATGACTTCTTTGGCCCAAATCAGATTTTGAAAACTTTGTTATAAAAATTTCCTTTGACTAAAAGACAACTTCCTTTTAGGTATCTGTAATAAAAATTTGCCCCAGGTCTCTAATGTAAAGGAAGATTCCACATATCACAATGGAAAGAGTAGCACTATCTTAGGACCTTTCACAATAAATAGATGTGCGAGGAAAATAATTTAGAGCATTTTAAAAAACAACTCTGAAATGCAGTTTTGCTCTTATAGGACCCAAAACTTTAATAGCATTCCCACAGTACAGTCAGGAAATAGCATCAGCCCCCAAGATACATAAAAGCAAAAATCCAAGTTCTTCTCCAACCACAATTATTTTTAATCTATGAAACTGAATTTCCTTACAAAATTATGTAGCTTTAATAGTACTGATATTTTTATCCTTGATGTGCTCTGTTTATTGACTGCTCTAAGAAGGGAGGTTGGGCTGTTACTTTTCCAGAAATTGAAAGTAAGTACCATCATTAAGACAAGGAAGAGAAAGATTTGTATCCATCTTTTTGGGACACGTAAGGCGACAGTGAAGTCTCACAGTTGGAGAATTTATGGATACTGCCAGGGGAATTAGAAATGCTTTCTAGCAGACGAGTAATGCCTCTTCCCCGGACACTGTTTTGGCCAGAAATTTTCACTCCCGATGGGTAGTCATCTAGGATGGTGAAAATACAAGAAAGACACATTGGTAATTTTGTAGTTTTATTACAAAGTGATTTATCAATTAACTTTAGGCACATCATTAAAAGCCATAGCTAACTGGATCTTGAAGAGAGATTCTTAGAATAATGGCAAAAAAGACTATAATTTGTTTATAGTGCTTTTATTGTATTTTCAGACTAGACTAGTATTTCTTTATACCTAGCAACCTTAATTTAAGCTCTATACTTACTACCTGAAATCTTAAGTCACTTAAGTTCTCCCATCACCCAAAAGGTATCATCATGACAAAACCATATATAAAGCTCTTAACCAATAAAAGAAATTCCACATTTTCTTTTTAAGAACCATGAACTAAAATGTCAGCAATAAGCTAAACTGTATCCAAAAGTGATACACTGAAATGCATACACCCAAGCTGCTTACTAATGCCATGTAAACCTCCCCAATACAACAAGCTAGTGCAAATTTAGAAGTGCCACATATCCTAGGATCTTAATCAATTTAAAGTCCTAATCTTCCTGGTGTCATAGGATTTACACATTGGCAGTAGTGGACCACAAGGTCAGCAGTTGGAAACCTCCAATGCTTTCTGGGGAGAAAGATGAGACTTTCTACTCCTGTAAAGCATTAGTCTGGGAAACTCACAAGGGTGTCTTTTACGGGTAACTATGTGTCAGAATAGACTCAATGCCAGTGAACTTGAGAACATACCCGAATTAAAAGCTTATTAGATAAGACTTACCAGTGGCTATGTTTGCTCTTTGGTAGTGATTAGAAGAGTTAAAATGAGGATATCCTGTACTCTCAAGCCTTAGCTTCTGTAAGAAACAAAAAGACACTTGTGAAAAAGTTTTTTCACAATAAGCAAATGTGGTGAAGAAAGCTGATGGTGCCCGGCTATCAAAAGATATAGCGTCTGGGGTCTTAAAAGCTTGAAGGTAAACAAGCGGCCATCTAG